TGATATTGACTCTTTCTACAGATGCATTGTTTTTGTTGTTATATGCCATAAAGTCAGAACCAACTCATAGCTGACCCTTCCATTGGTTTTCAGAGGCTGTATATCACATGGGAGGAGACTATCTTTTCCAGAGTTGTTGGTAGATTTACACCAGGCCTTGGAGTAGGCACCGCAAATTTTTACCACTAATCCACCAGAATTCCCTTCCACAGATATAGTCAATCTGTTTCCTACATAGTTCATCAGTTGAGGTTCATGCGTATAGTTGCTGTTTATGTGTTTAAAAAAAACAAAACAAAACAAAACACCAAAAACAAAACCAAGGTATTTGCAACGAATAAATAATTGATCGTACAAAATTCAGTCAGTTGATCTCCAGCCTCATTTCTGTAACTAAGTCCATTTTTTCCAAGTACGAGACTGTCTTTGTTTTCAATTTTTGTATTCCATCACCAATTATTATTAAGGCATCTTCTGGGGAGGTGAGTAATGCAAGAACTTTAAGTGAAAGAAAAGTGCAATGAAATATCTTGAGAGCTTAAGAGAGGGGAACTTGGACACCACCTCTCAAGCTCAGGACCAAGCGCAGACGGGACTCTTTCTGCATGTTGTAGTCAGATCAATCTTTGCTGGTCAGGAGGAATGCCTTCTTTGTCTCAGATCTTGGTCTTCACAATCTCAATGGTGTCACTAGGTTCAACCTCAAGGGTAATGGTCTTACCTGTCAGAGTCTTCATGAATATCTCCATTTCCCTTTCAGAGGAAGGACCAGTTGCAGGGTAGTTTCTTTCTGGGTGTTGTAGTCAAACAGGATGTGTCCCTTTTCCAGCTGTATCCCAGCAAAGATTAATCTCTGCTGGTCATGGAAGAAAGGCACTTTTTTTTTTCAATGGCTGATCCATTTCAAACTGCAGAAGTTTGTAGAAAGTTGATAATGTATGTTTGAGTAACAGTTGTATTAACAGATCTTTCTTGACTGCATATGGATAATATCCTACCACTCACAGCATTGTACTCTAGGATAAATCTTGAAATGTTCCATTGACTATGAATGCCTTACCATTTTTTCCTTAATTTTTCATTCTCATTATAATAGATTATATGATTGTCTGATTCACTACTCCACCTTGTCTCACTAATGCCCAAGATGTGGATCTTTAAACATTACATTTATTTATTTTTTTTACAACTTTAACTTTTCTTAAAGTCACACTTCATATATTCCACATCTCAATTATTATTAGCTGTTTGAAGCTCTTCTCATTTTTTTTGTGTCTTCCAATCTGAGAGGCTCTGCTTCTAGTACTATAGTTAACAATGTCCCTCTGTTATTCATAGAGTTTTTGAAGATCTGTTCTTTCTGGAACTCCACTGGTACTTGTCTACCATGGGTTACCCTGCTAGTATTTGAAATATTGGTGCCATAGTTTCCAGCATCACAGCAACCTGCAAGTCATCCCAGTACAGAAAACTGACAGACAAGTGCTATACTCATAAGAGCAAACTATAAACAGGCATATGCAAACTATAAGCAGATACACACAAGCAACCTTCACAATACAGCAAACTGGCAGGTAAGTCTTGTGCCCATAAAAGCAAACCATAAAAAGCAAAAACATACAAATATCATGAAACAAACTTCTATGCTATGGGAAAGGTGTGTCAAGGGGTTGGAAAATGGTAAAAAGAGCAAGGGCCATGTGGGGACAGCCATATCTAACCTTTACCAACTCCACAATGGAGAACTGTCCCTGTTAACATCAACAACATAAAACCAATTCCCATGAGGTCAGACATGTCCCCCACACTCCCGCATCTCTTTCTTCTCATCCTGACACCAATCTTTCTACTTTATTAGTTCCAGAATCCAATACAATAGCTCACAGACCATGCAGAACCATATTAGGGAAGTCAAAGTGGTTAAATAATTCAGGTTGGCAGCCACTCAGTCAAGACAGCTTCAGAAATATTCTTACAAGCACCTCAGCCTTGAGCCACATGACTTTAGGTGTTAGAAAGCTCTCAGTCCTGCCTATCATGGCTTTCCACCCTCCAACCCTAGTTGCCCAACAAACTTGTGCAAATTCACTAAATTTAATGGTGAGATAGCCAATCCCTTGTAGATAGGCACATCCTATTTGCATGTTGTCACTCATCCACATGAGTTAGAAAACATCTAGGAAAGCCATTTTGAACAATAAAGTCTTACTACCACAGGAATCTAGACTAGGACAGAGTTTCTGCTGGCCTTAGGAAGAACCTAGAATACTCTGCCTGGTGAAAGACATTGTCTTCACTCGTCCAGAGGATGGATGACTCTGACTTAGAGGAGGTGGCCCTCTAGTTAGCCCAGGAGTGAACAGTCCACAGGCTATGGGAGGAAAGTGCTGAAAGCTTCAGGCTCTAAAACCAGAATAGTATGGGCATGGCCTGAGATAGAACTGGGTCTTAGCGGGTGGCAGTAGGAGCATGGGAGAGTAGAGGGTGGGAGGGTAGGCAGGTGGGAGGAAATACAGCCCACCACCTGATAAGGAGGAGATGGACATAGAGGGAAAGGGGCAGACTGGACTTTTTCAGATGTGTGGGTGCCACTGCTGCTGCTTTCACCCTCCTGGCTTCTCACGCCATGTGGTTAGCTGTTCAAGATGTACAATACTAAGTGGTGACTAACGCTCAGTGGTAATAGCTTCTGGCACATACAGATCCTCTCTCCAACTTTCAAGGCCAATGAAGAAAAAGGCTGCTAAATGGCAGTGCTGGGGTGGTGACTGCTCTTCCCCCAGCTGTGAACTCTAATGCAACCCAACCCCAGCAGGCCAAGTTTGGAAAACAGGACAGGAAAGCTGTTCTACTCACATCTGTCCTCCATTCTCTCATTGGCCATTACTGGAATGTTAAATTAACACTTAAACCAACTCCATAGCAACTAATGGATTTTGTTAAAATCTACTCAAGCCTTTTCATAAAGTGTGATTCACACAGTTGGCTGCATATTAGAATCATTTGGATTTTTTTTTTTTTTATTTTAATGCCCAAACTTAATCCCAGTGGGATGCTGGCACTGATATATTTTAAAACCCTCCAGGTGATTCCAAGTGCAGTCAAGACTGAAAGTCACAACCATAAGGGACTCTTGATTCTGGATTTCTAGAATACCTATGTAACTATGTAAGAAGTACCTGCTGTCAGAACATTGCCCACTTCCCAGAAAGGTGGAGCTTCTATCTGTGACCTAGAGTAGAAGCCAGAAAAGTCCTAAGTGATCTTCCTTCCTGGTATATATGTTTGAGTATCTTTTGGGAAGCAGATGCTTCAGGCCTCAACAGAAACTGAGAGTATCTTAAAAAGAGAAATTGTAGTAGCCCTGAAGAAACAAGTGTGCAGTGGTCTCCAACACAGGGCTTGCAACACACCAAGCTGCAGTGTTGCTGCAATGTGTACATGTCAATTTTTGTGTTGTGCTGTGTTCTACAGGTTTGGCCGGAAAAGGATCCTCTTTGCAACCATGGCTGTGCAGACTGGCTTCAGCTTCGTGCAGATTTTCTCCAGCAGCTGGGAAATGTTCACTGTGTTATTTGTCATTGTGGGCATGGGCCAGATCTCCAACTACGTGGTGGCCTTCATACTAGGTAGGACTGGCTTCTTACACACAGGACCCTCTGCCCAAGTCTCTGAGAGGCGAGAGAACAGGATCCACTAGAGAGAGCATATGTGCTGTGCTTCCACATTTGACCAGCCTTACATGCATATGTGTTGGGGAGGAGGCCTTATTGAGAAGTGGCTTTGATGAAATCAGAAACAATGCAGGAGCTCAGAGCCTGATATTTGAGATGCTGGGCTCTGGCATATGGTGGTGAATAAGAGCGAAAGCTGGTAGGAATCAATCACACATAGCTAAGACGGATTCTCAGAACACAGAGCTGGGTGAGGGGAGGATACTGGGGGAGGGACAGCTTAGCCATGTCTCTGATCTGTGACAAAATTCTCCCTGGTGGGATAGGGCGTTCCTGCAACTGTGTATGGCCCTTGATGATGAGACTTAAGAGTAGCTGGTGTAGCTGATACATAGGCTGAGGAGGTGTGTGCCAGATAGGAGGGGTTCTGCCAGCCCGCCATCACTGAGCAGATTTAATCTCACCTCTAGTCAGAAGCCACTCCTGAGCACATCAGCCTTGTGCAGGACAAACTTCACTGAGTTGATAGTCTTATCTCCTAGCAACACCCTTGCTTCTGGAAGATCAGGTTGCCTGAGGGGACTTTAGAAACTACAATGTGATGATGAGGCCCCCAGGGCCATCACCATCTTTTTCTGGGAAGAAATGTGGTGAGCTCTGTTCAGGCTGCTGAGGGTCATTATAGGAATATGCAGACAGTGCTCTCTAAGCAGCTGAGAGAGGGGAGAGTGCCTCCAAGTTTATGAGGGAGCCTTCTGGGACAAGAGACACCAATTCCCTTTAACTTTAATGTGTTAACACATTCTAATTAGCTCGGCACTGTCTCACTTGATCTTTGTAATTGTTAATAAGTAATTAACAGTGTAATTATTAAAAGGTCCCCATTAGGGAAAATCTATTGATTCTTTTTGTCTCAGCAGTCTGCATCTGTTTGCTTATGAATCTAGATGATTTCAGATTCTGTGTTTTTCTTTAACATGATGATGGGTTCACCCTCTGTCCACTTGCCAAGGTGGACTTGTTCAAATTCCACTCCTTTAATCATTTGTGAAGTGTCCTTTGCCATGAGCGCAGCCTCAGTGTCTGCAGAAGAGGGGAGGGCGTGGAAGAGCATGTTGACACCACATGGTCCCACCAGATAGCACTTTCTTCAGCAGGCCTGGCACAAGGAAAGAGGGTAGAAAGGTGTTTTATATAAAGGACACAGGGGACTTCAAGCTAGTACTGGAAATTGGAGGGTAGAAGAATAAAGGACAACAATTGTGACCTCTTAATACCCAATGCCCCTAAAGGCCCTAGATGCATGGGCATAGATAGGTTTACATTCTAAATCTCCCCCAAATATTTCTTCCTTGTGATGACCCCCTATTCCTGAAAGGCACAGTGTGTAGTTTTGCTTGGGGGCTACATATACCAGAAAGGCCTTCCTCAACAGAAGGCACTGTCGGAGGTCAGTGGACTGACTCAGTTTGAAGAAGACCTAAAGGACTTTACTGAAAGGACAGAGTTGTAGTGAAGCCAGAGAAGCCCTATTACAGGGACTAGGTGGAAGGTAGAGTCTGTGCCAGGCAAAGGCAGCCCCCAGGTTCTGCTGAGTGGCCAGCATTGAAACCTGTCTTTCTGGTGGCACCAGGTGTCTCTGGAGTCATGGAGCTTTCCTTACAAGTACATGAGGTAGGGAGAGGCCCCCTCAGGCCTCCTGCAGGAAAGGCCTACCCATCTGGCTGCAATATGGCTCATCCACACCCCAGTCTGTTCCCTACACACACAGTTTGTGATACATGCGTGACAGATTGAGGGATGAAAGGGCCAAATGGAAAGTGAGATCATTTAAGAATAGTCTCGGACAAGATGTCATGCTAGCAATCAGTGCACACAGCCACTGTTGGGAACTCTGGGAGCCTCCTTTTGCCTGACTGTAAAGTTTTATTCCATTATGCTTTATTAAAAAATGGTCTACTTTTGTTTCCCAGGATTAGAGTCTTTGTGTTGGGTTCTTGGATATCAAAGTTTAGTGTGTCACTGAAAATCAATACTCAGCTTGTGGGCACAAGTCTAGCTGTCAGTGCCTGGGGAGACTAGATGCAAAGAGGCTGCTGGCTTCCCTGAGGCTCAGCAGCGCTCTCTCGTGTCAGGAAAAAAGCAGCGCTCTCTAGTGTCAGAAGAAAGCAGCCCAAAAACCAAAGTGTGGGTCGGGCCTAAGTTTGGTTTGGCTTTCCTTTATTTTAAAAAAATTAATTATATAATTTATTGAATATTTTTACGTGCAGATATATATTATAAAGCATGAATCAAAAATAAAAGTGATATTACTATTGAATGATACTATTAAAACTCTTTACTATTTGAAGACTTTTAGGAAATATTTTTAACTCTTTAATTTTCCACTAATGACATGTTCTTACTTTTTATGTAAATCTAGATTTTGAGCAACATTTCATTGCATTAAATCTATCTGTCCATTCACTTGTCTTCTGGTTCTAGGGAAGGGTTTGGCAAGACCTTCAATGGTAACCTTCAATACTGAGGGTTTCCACATTCATTCCAGGCAACTCAGATGGCCTAGGGTTAAAAACTTGCATTGAAACCCCAGAGGCACTTGGTTCAAATCCACAAGCTACTCCATGGGAGAAGGATGGGCATTCTTATCCCATATGATTTACTACTACCTCTGGAAGTCCACTGGAGGGTCAGCTTTTAGTCGATTCTGACTCACTGGCACACAACAACAACCAGAAGTTGTTTCAGACTGGAACATTCATTCCAGAAGTTTAGTTGTTTCCACTGTTAAGGTAGAGTAGAAATGGGGTCTCCCATAGAGCTTGCCCAGTCCATCAGAGATTAGAATAGGGAAAGAAGTTATTCTGAAAGAAACAGAGGGAATACCCCTGGAAATGTCGATGCTGGTATAATTCCAAGCATTTCTTTGTGACAGAATGATGCTGATCCAGGAGGAAATGGCCGCTTAAGACCAAAGATACTGACTTTACTGACACTCCCACTCTCCTGCACAACCTCCCACCGGCTCAGGAATAAATGACACTCTCTGCCTGCCAACAGCCTTCTTTCTGAGTAAAATATGAACAACATTTTGTTTTAATCCTCTGGGATTAGCCGCTTGAATTGATTCCACATCAACAGCTAATGGATTAATTAATTACATATTTTCCCAGTAGTCCTAATATTTACTCCCATAAGATATTTGTTTCAGCATTTTAAATTGTTTAAAGTTTAGTTTCCTGTGTTCTTTTTTAGCATATAACTGATGACCTCTTCTTTTGTCATTTTGGCTCCCAGGAAGCTCAGGTGAACTTAAATTTTAATACATTAATTATACAGCCTTTATCTGTCACAAATTTTTTAAAGGAAACACTTTAAAACAAACACACCATAATATTCATATTTTAAGGTGTACGATTTTATGATTTTTAGTATATACACAAAGCTGTTGTCAACTTTATCTTACTCGAGAACATTCAATAAATAACCTCAAAACAAATGCTGCACTCATTAGCAGTCTCTCCCAGTTTCTCCCTGTTTCCAACCTTAACAAACACTAATCCACCTTCTGTCTTTATGGACTTCCCTGTTCTGGGCAACCTGGGTATTTCCTACAAGTAAAAACATACACTATGTGGCCTCTTGTGATTCCCCCTTTCACTTATAATGTTTTCATGATGAAGTCACATTGTATTATGAATCAGAATGTCATTACTTTTTTATGGCTGAATAATATTGTTTTGTACAGCTATAACATATTTTGTCACATCCATGCATCAGTTGATGAACATCTGGGTGGTTTCTAAATTTTTGGCTATTCCCATGCAATGACTTCTGACAAATAATGTTGCTAATGAACCTTCAAGTTTTGTGTGGACATTGGTTTTCCGTTCTGCACCTATAGGGGTGGAATGAGTGAGTCATAGTCATTGTTTGAGCTTCTGCAAAACTGCCAGACTGGTTTCCACAGCAGTTAGTTGCATATTTTTACTTTCTTCCCAAGGCATGAATTTTCACTTTTTTTTATATTTTACTTTAAATTGGCATAATTTTGATGTATTCACATTATAAGATGCAGTTCACAAGTTATCTCACTTTCACCGTAATAAATAACTCCATGAAACAAAACCTGTTTTGCAGATGAAAAAAACTGGCTTTTTTTTTTTTTAAAAAAAAAAAAAAAAGGAGTAAACTTCTTCCCAGTGGTTCTGGTAGCAAGTCTGTGTGGAGTCCAGCCTCACTTTGCTTGCGTGATGGAAGGAATCCCACCAGGGCTCCTTGGGCGAATCCCACCAGGGCTCCTTGGGCTCCATATACTGGTCACAACACCTCAGACTTGTTTCTTGAGCATAGGTCTGCTGTGAGCCTCTTCTGGGCATAGAGGAGTGGGTCCTACCTACATGTCAGATCAGCCCAGTCACTCTTGGGCTGACTACCAAACAAGGATCCTGCTTGACCCTCTGGGTGAAAGTGCCCAGATTCAAGTGAGTAAACACTTCAAGAGCTGGTTTAGATGACTAGAACATGTACTTTTGGCTTAGATATCAGTTATACTCTGGCCTTTGCCCGAGGAGCAAGGTACAGGAGGCTGGAACAGAGGGCCCAAGTCAGCAGAGCAGGAATTATCACTGTCCTCTGTCTCATTGCCAGTTGAGTACCTAAGAGGTTTGTGGTAACTGTAAGCATGAAAGATCTCCTTGGCTGCAGCAATCAGGACACCTGTCTTATGGTTCCCCAGAGGGTTGGCCTCCAGTTGGTTCAAGGACCAGCCCAGGAAGAGAAAACCTAAATTCTCACTTCTTACAGGGAGTTACACAGGAAGACATTTGTAAACAATCATTGTGAGTGAATAGTTTTGAGAAATTAAAGGAAAGAGGAAACCTTTACTGATTTTATTGTATTATACATACTGCTAAGTTTGTGACAACCTCTGGACCTGGGCAGAAATCGCTCTGACCACAAGCTCTCCCATGCCCTACTTTCTTTTCCTCTTTACAATATGCCAGATAAAAATGGCCTTTCTTTTTTAAGGAAAAGTGTATGTGGGAGCTTTTTCCCTGTCCATTTCCTATACATAATTTTTATAATCTCAGCCCAAAGACTGCTTTCTACGGTGAAGGATTTGCCTCTAGGTGGTTTTATCCTCATAGAAGCGAGCCTGTATCTAGATGTCACCCAGATCAGGCTTGAATCCTTATTACACAAGTGTGGACTCAGGCAATTTAGCTCTTGAAAACTAAGCTGCTTGTGTGTAAAATAAGAGTAATAAAATTTTTGCATAATTGATGTAAAGATTCAAAGAGAACATATGAATAAAGACCAGAACCTAGATTAAACTTCCCCCCAAAATATGCTAGCTGTGAAGATGAGGGGAGCTCTGGTAGCCTAATGGTAGGAAGCTGTACTGCAATCATGAAGGCACGCGGTTTGAGGCCGCCAATTGCTCCATGATGTTTAAGGAAGGGCAGTTGTTTTGAAGTCAGAGAGAAAGTAGTGCTAACAAGGAACCATTTAGGATCATACCTTCCATGCTGTTCTCCTAGAAAGGAAAAGAGAGATTCACACGGCTTCTATTATTCGTAATTACTCTGCAAAGTTACAGTATTATAGTATGAGGGAGCTCTGGTGGCTTAGTTCATAGAGAGTTGTGTTGCTAACCCAAACACTGTAACTCACTGAGGGCTCAAACTCACTAGTTTAATGGGGAAAAGATGGAAGTCTCCTTAGAAACAACCTCAGAAACCCAATGAAGGACCAGCTCTTAGCTCCAGCTCAAAGCAATGACAATGAAATGTCTCCTAGAAACCCAGCGGTGTAACTCCTCTGTTTCTCCTATCCAAGAAGCATAAAGAATGAGTGCTTCAAACACCCACATGGGCTTATGCCCTTTCTCTGTTCCACAACCAGACCGTTTTCTGCTTCACTTTTAGGTCTCTGCTTGGGAGCAGGCATTCCATATTCATTCCCATGATGCCATGCAGTAGTCACAGTCAGTTTAGAGACCAGGACATGGTGGTGGAGTGTATGTTACAGAATAATAGGAAGGCCATTATTGAGGTAACAAGTTGTTGCTGACTCATCGTGACCCTATAAGACAGAAAGTAGAACTTTCCCACGGTGTTTCCAAGCCTTTGTGGAAGCAGATCATGGCGTGCAGCTGGTGGGTTTGAAACAGCGCTTACTCCAGCAACTACGCACATGGTCTTAGAGAATGCAGGCCTTGTCCTTTGAAACGAGTTCCTAGAATGAGAGAAATTCCATGAATAGTTAGGGCTGGTGTATCTAAAGGAAAATAGCACCTCTGGCTGTAAGTTTGAAATTGTTGAACAAACCCTCACAGCTAAGGGGGTAAGGTGCCCCTTCAGGTGTCACTCAGGCCCTGTGCCATACCTGCCACTCCCCTGAGAAGCAATATGGGCTGCAGGATGCACAGGCTACTGGCCAAGTCAGCGTGGCTGGCTGCTAGCAAGGCTTCTCAAGGGAAAAATCACCGGGAAGTGGTTCTCAGAATGAGTGAGGAAGAAATGGAGTGGGAGCAAGAACAGAAAGGAGGTGGAACAGAAAAGCAGATGAAGTAGTAATTTTGATACTTATCTGGAATGGACCCTTAGACTCTTGGCCCGTATCCAGGACACTAAGATGCTCAGAGATCAACCAAAATCTCTCTTGATAGCTAAGACCGAATAATCTTTGGATTGCCTGCTTTGTATTTTCTGGGCCGCTGTTTAACTGAATTGCTGGGCGTATCTCAAACAGAAGGCAAAGCCCCACTGCTAGATCTCTGTCCCTGGGAGAAGGGAGCCAGAATGGAAATGCGGAAACATCCTGAAGCTCACCACCACCACAACAAAAACCCATGAAACTTATTCTCTTCTCTTGCAACTCAAGCCCAGAGTGCCAAGGGACGTAGCTACCTCCCTGGAAGAACAGTACCAAGTGGTGCTCAAAACTGAGCAAGGCAGGAGCCTGGAGTTGCCAACATTTCTCTCCCCATAACTGTGCTTGACACAAGTCAACAGCTTTATTGTGTTCTGGGAAAGATGTGTGATGGTCCTGGGTGTTTGGAGCTTACTGCCCGCCCCAGGACCACTACCTACTGGGACAAAGCCAACGCCTTTTCTTTCTTTGGTCTGAATGGACAAGATCAGCCTAGAAAATAGTCTCCTGGTCATAATGTGGGTGCAGAGGAATTCAAGCCAAGGTGCTCTGCACACCCTCAGAGCCAACTGGATCCTCTTTACCCTTCTGTGGAGCTCAAGTGGGGGTAAAGGTGTCATGGCAACATCTCAGAAACCCTGATCTCCTCAGTGTCTCCCAGTGCGCCAATGTCTCTACAGTGGAGGATTGTGGGGAAAACAAAATACACTAGGTCTTCTTGGGCCCCTCACAAGTGCCACTGGCCTCCCGCCTCCTCCTTTGGTTGGGGCTCTGATTTTGGAAATTTGACATTCCCAGAAGAGACCCTTGATGCTGGGCAGGATATTTTTATAATTTAGGATGTCCTCTTAAAAATTAGTTCATGATTTCTCTAAAACCTTATTTAAAAAATTCTTCCTTCTCTAAGTTGCTGAATCTTGAATCATTTTCCACCTTCCTCCCTCCCTGACCTGTCCTGCACTGAGTCATGAGGCAAATTGTCTCTTCCTTTTCCCAAGTGGTTACAGTGTGAATTCTGTCAGGTAATAATGTAAAAAGCAATATTGAAGTGAGCGAAAATGCTAATACTCCTCCCTTGTTTTAAACAGGAACAGAAATTCTGGGCAAGTCAGTTCGTATTATATTCTCTACATTAGGAGTATGCACATTTTTTGCAGTTGGCTATATGCTGCTGCCACTGTTTGCTTACTACATCAGAGACTGGCGGATGCTGCTGGTGGCGCTGACGGTGCCGGGGGTGCTGTGCGTCCCGCTGTGGTGGTGAGTGCGACTCCATCCTCTGCTGTGGGCCAGCACGCCTGCCGCCTAGAGCCCGGCTCAAGACCTTCACTGGGACTGCTGAAGCCCCGGGCCCAAAGCCAGCAGAGGGTTTTGCCTCGTTATGGGCGGGCCTGTGCACTGGGATTTGATATTCCATTATGCTACAATACACTGTTCTCAGGGAACCCAGTTCCCTCCTAGACTCTCCCCTACACTTGCTTTTGCCAGTTTTAATTGTTGTTTAGGGAGATGGTATTCTTGGAGTTTGTTGTTTTACATTTTACCCTCTGCTATATTCTTTCTCCAGATATCTTTATCTTTCTCTCCTTATGGATTTAACATAATTTCCACAAACTTCTCAATCACATGATCATAAGCGTCTAAGGTGTGCCTGTTTATTAGCCTTGTCTTCAAGAGCCAGAGAAATATTATTGTTTACTTAGTAGAGAAATGTTCTCCTCTCTGCCCCTTCACAGCCTCCAAATCAATTTTGGCGTATCAACTAGGAAACAGCATTACAGATTGGAGGTCTTGATCTCAGAGTCATTCTATCATGATCATCTGGGAGATCAGAATTAAGAGAACAGATTTAGGGTAATGAAATAGGATGCTAGCCACACTCCTTCCCTCCCCCCACTTTAAACAAAATTTATTATTTTTTGTGTGTGTACCATCAAATCCGATCTGACTGGTAAAGGAGGAGAATGTGCCTCCTTCTCCAGCACCCCTCCTTTTTTTAAGAGTTCTGTTTTCTTTGGCTTTTTAAAAATATAAGTTAAAGAAAAGGGAAACACTTTGATTGGTGAGCCTGGCTTTTTATTGTTGGTTTGGCTTCATTCTGTCATAATCAAATCTTCCAGCAGTTCAGCTTTACTTAACTTCTTGGACTTTATCTGCTTACACATAAGGGTAATTGCTTTGATAATTTTGAGGGGACAGAGTGTAGACTACACTCCAGGCTGTCCTGTCCTTTAGCTGCATCCTGCCAAGAAATTGTCTAGAAGGTTAATGAGCTTTCTGCAACTGTCTCACAGCTGTAGAACTGAATGAACAAACTTGGCCTTATCTGGTCAGATGACCCAGGCTGGCCCACTCTAGGCTGTCTCTTTAAGCCCTCAAAGCCTCTGAAACGACTGTGGTTTACTAGTGTAAATACCTGGCATGGGGTAGGCAGGGAATGGATTGCAGAGAACACATTTCCTTTTTATTACTTCCCTAGATTCTGAAAGATAGTATGTTAAAGGTTGCATAGTATTCTGATTTATCAGAGTTCTTTTAGAACCCAATCAGAAGGCCAGATGACATATACAATATACTTAAGAGCATATGCACAGCTCTGCCTCCGAAGAAAACACTCTAGATTTATGAAAGTGAAGCTATTATTTACTAGAGTAAGAATCACCATCATCATAATCATCTCACATACTCTACACAACCACCTCACTAGTCAAATTTAGTGAAAAAATGGTGACTAAAGGGACTCTCAAGCACAACATAGAATATATTAAGGGTTATTTTCTGTCTCTTCAGGTCAATTATTTTAATGATTTTCCTGGTTCTTGCTGTCATTTTGGCCCAAGAGACTAGTATTTTTAAAATGTGTTATAAACAACAGTCTTGCTACAGATAGGTATATGTTGTTGTTGTTGTTATGTGCCGTCGAGTCGCTTGTAACTCATGGCAACCCTATGTACAACAGCCCTAAACTCTGGTCTGTCCTGTGCCAATCGCACTGTCTCTGACACTCTCATCCCGATTACCCCAGTCACTGAATCAATCCACCTCATAGAGGGCCTTCCCCTCCTGCGCTGTCCCTCCACCCTCCCAAGCATGATGTCCCTCTCCAAGGACCGGTCTCTCCTCACAACATGTCCAAAGTATGTTAGATGGAGCCTCAGAATCCTTGGCTCCAAGGAGCCACCCAGTTTAACCCTTTCCCGGACAAATCTGTTTGTTTTCCTAGCAGTCCATGGTATCCTCAACACTCTTCTCCAGCACCACAGCTCAAAGGCATCAATTCTCCTTCTATCCTCCTTGGTCATTGTCCAACTCTCTGATGCATAACAAGTGATTGCAAAGACCATGGCATAGATAGGATAAATACAGACATGCGCTCATTTGGAGATTGGCAGAATTGGCTTTTAGAGCTTGGCATCTTTGCCTCAGGATCAAATATTGTAGCAAGAAACAGCTGTCAGGTGAGCATTTCTAAATGTCCAGCAAAATAAGCCCACCGCATGAGGCACTGACTCGTCCCTGCCCCACAGAGAGAGTTCTTCCTTCTGCTCTGCCCCGTTGGAGGCACGGCTCTTCCTCTTTAGAGCCACACAGTCAGGGACAGGACTGCCCAGGAGCCTGACCACTTCAGGGATGAGGGTGCTCCCAGGACGGGATGTTTCAGCAGAGGGCAGCCTAGAGCAAGCACAGCTGAGCTGCCCGTTTGTCCTGAATGTTTAACAAAACAGTTTTCCAAACACAGTCTCTTATTGTTTCCCTCTACAGACAAAAGAATGTTCTAAACATCTCACCTTTGAGGGTGAGACTTCTTGAAGCATGTCCATCAGCCCAGGTTACTGTTTTCTCTCTCACACACACCCCCACAGTTTAATTTTAATTCAAACTACAGAATGACTAGTGTGTGACTCGAATCTCAAATCTTGATAATTCAAAATCAGAGATCCCGGCTCCCAGATCATAAACATTTGCTACCTGGAGCAATGAGTGGGAAATATGACGAAAAACTACCCAAAGTTGCCACTAGAGAGCTGAAAATTCCTTTTGAAAAGCTTGGTAGTAAGTGACTCCAATGTGCTGGGAATGGAGATAGGGGAGGGGAAGGAAATCAGAGATACAATATGGGAAGAGTGTTACTCCTTTCCAGTTGACTCATCAAACATGTTTCATAGGATGTCTGAGGCCAGTGATGGGCCACAGAGTCTGTAGAAAGTCAAGTAGGCAATTTCTAATCAACTCTTGGTTGAGAAAGACAGTACTCAGAAGTGTTAAGTATCTATGCAGAGTATAAGGGACTTTGTAGTCAGACCTCTAATTCTGCAATAGTATGGTAGCCACTGGCTTCAAACCTAATTAACATGAAATAAATTTTAAAATCCATTTTCTTCAACCACACTAGCCACATACCAAGTGCTCAATAGACATGTGATTAGCTGCAGCTAAGTGGACACCACAGATACGGAATACTAGACAGTTCTAGCTAATGCAGGGACCAACTACAAATGTAAACTGAAGCTTATTTTTCAACTCATGTGGTAATAAGCTGGAAAAGGGAGCTCATGGCTGGTCTTTTTATGTAGTATGTTTTGCTCTGAACTAATTCCTACTGAGGCTTTGAGTGGACCCCTTACTTAATTACTGGAGGCTCTTGTGTCCGCTCCATGTAATGGATTTTCTGGGAAAACTAAGTACTGGCAAATAAGTAAGGAAACAACTGGCAAGAGAATGCCTAAGATTCTAAGAAATAAAAGTCAGCTGAGAAGTGAAGTTAATTTTTACAAGTGTTTGAGCATCAGTGGATTGATTGTTAATTAAAAACAAAATTATAGACATTAAAAGAGAATTCTGGTGGCATAGCCCGCAGGCAGTTGCACTGCTAAGCTGCAGGCTGCATGTTTCCAGTAGTTAGAATCCATTAGCGGTTCAGTGAGAGAAGAATGGTCACTCTCCCTCCTCCCGCTGTGACTCATTTCTGAGGAACCTGCTGGAGGGTCCCTGAGCTGAAACGGACTCCATGACTGAGTGAGTGAGTGAGTGAGTGAGTGAGTGAGTGAGTGAGTGAAATAAACAAACAAGCAGACAATGTTGGCTTGTCTTTCAAAAAGGTGGTGTAGTGTTGTTCCCTGATCTGGAGATCCACTGGAAGCTGTGGACACGCCACAGGAAAGAACCAGGTTTGTGCTCTTTGCCCACAGCAAAGGCTAGAGCACAGATGCCCTATCAGCCTTTACCAGATAAAGTGGCAGACATTACCAGCTGGGCACCAGACTTCTCCTAGGCTGGGCGTTCTGAAAAATACTCTTTCTTTGAGAGAACTTACAGTGTAGTAGACTGCAGTTCTCTTATGATTCCTATTAGCAGTTACATTTCAGAAAAAAACCCCAAGTCCTTTTCCAGCTGCCCTGGCTTGAAATGCCCACCATTAATATCACCTCTTACAGTCTAGTCCTGGCTTCAAGTACAGCTCATGACCAGTCTTGAGGTTTGATCAAGACTTTGAAATTTGAGCGTGCTTTTACTTTTTTCCTTCCATTTTCTTCAAGAAACACCAAAAACCTCAAACAAAACCTTTACAAACTAGCATTCTATAAAATAAAAATTATTTTGGGGGTCAGCTGATAATTGATAGCATCAAAGTTTGCCATGGTGAAAATGATAGACTGTTGAAAATTAATTCCAGGTTTATTCCTGAATCTCCCCGGTGGCTGATATTCCAGGGAAGAATTGAAGAAGCTGAAGATATCATCAAAAAAGCGGCAAAAATGAACAATATAACTGTCCCAGCAGTGGTTTTTGATCCTGTGGAGGTAAGCATTTGTTTCCTCTTAAAATCAGCCAGGCACTCTTGATTTTAGAAAATGTAACTGTATTGCATACATAGAGTGTCTATGATGTACCAGGTACTTGTACTAGGACACAATGATGACTAAGCTCGGAGATAAAATTCCCCTTAAATGACTATGCATAAATTAAGTGCATTTATATATGTATATACGCACATATTTTGTTGTTGTTGTTAAGTGCTGTCAAGTCGCAGGCGACTCATAGTGACCCTATGAAGGAGAGTCCTCAACGCTTGGGTGCCTTTCATCCTCTCTCCAGGTTCATAGGGTTTCTGGCGGCAAGCTATGATGGAAGTGGATGCCACTCCATATATATATATATATATATATATATATATA